GCTCCAGGCAGTGATATCAGGACCTGTCCCTGGTGTTTAGCTGGTTTTGGGGAATCTGTTCCCCATGCTGGATTATCTTGCCCAGCTTTCATACAGGGGGAAGAGCTCGGTCCTACCTCATCGTGATGTGCCATGCTATGTTCAAGCCCATGGGAGGCATAGAGACAGAGGAGGAGTGGTGGATGGGGAGAGGGGTAGATGGGAGGGGGCCGGAAGAGGAAGAGAGGAGAAACTGGTATGTAAAATAAAGGAAAAAATGATAATAAAAAATAAAGACTGGCCTGACATTAGTGTCACACACCTTTAATCCCAACACTTGGAAGGCAGAGGCAGGCAGATCTTTGTGAATTTGAGGTCAGCCTGGTCTACAGAGTGAGTGCCAGGATAGGCTCCAAAGCTACACAGAGAAACCCTGTCTCGAAAAACCATAAATAAATAAATAAATAAATAAATAAATAAATAAATAAATAAAGGGGCTGGAGACATGGCTCAAGGTTAAGAGCACCAACTGCTCTTCCAGAGGTCCTGAGTTCAATTCCCAGCAACCCCATGGCTCACAACCACATTGAATGAGATCTGATGCCCTCTGCTGGCTTGCAGACAGAAGACTGTATACTTAATAAATAAATAAAATCTACAAAATATATGAATAAATAAAGACTGAAGCAGGGGAGTGGTGGTGCATGCCTTTAATCCCAGCACTCAGGAGGCAGAGGCAGGCGGATCTCTCTGAGTTCGAGACCAGCCTGGTCTACAAGACTGCCTCCAGGACAGCCTCCAAAGCCACAGAGAAACCCTGCCTCGAAAAACAAAAAAACAAAACAAAAAAAGAGTACCCCCTGAGGCCAGAAGAGAATGCTGGATTCCCCAGAGCTGGAATTACAGGCATGTGAGATGGATGCTGGGAACCAAAGGCAGGTCCTCTGGAAGAGCAGTAAGGACTGTCAACTGCTGTGCCATCTCTCTAGCACCAGAAATATTTTTTTCATTTCATTTCGTTTAATTGTTTTAATATTTTGTATACATGGGTGTTTCGCCTGCATATGCTACATGTACGGCCTGTCTGTGCTATACATGCATGCAGTGCCACCAGAGACCAGAAGAGGGCACCAGATCCCCTGGGACTGGAGTTAGAGATGGTTGTAAGCCACCAGGTAAGGGGAATAGGACGCAGATCCTCTGGAAGAGCAGCCAGTAACTGCTGAGCCATCACTCCAGCCCCTAGTGTGCGTGGGTGTGTGTTGGGGGGGGGGTTGAGACAGGTTCCCACCTCTATGAATCCCAAGTTGGCCTTGAACTTGTGACCCTCCCTGCCTCTGCCTCACAAACACAGAAATTACAGGCAGACATGCAATCAAGTTTGCTTTGATGACCATGTGTTCCTGACCCTCCTCCTCCCTACCCCGTGTGGGCAAACATAAGGAAAAGGAGGAACAAGATCATCCTCTAACCGAGAATGAAGGAAAATCTAGGCACTGGAGGCGAGAAAACCTAGAAAAAAATCAGGAGAGGAATGAACCAAGAGGAAACCAAACTGCTGAGAAACCCACGGATGGGAGTGCTCACCGAAAGGACATTGGGATCATCAAGGATTAAAGGGCTGGGGACACAGGTCAGCTGGTAGAGTGAGTGCTTCCCTGGCATTCCCAAAGCCACAGGTTCAATTGCCAATACCAGAATAAATAAGTAAATGTACAACATAACCCCTGTATGTAAACCACCAGGTACTGGGAACAGGAAGCTGCATGTAAGCCCAGGGAGCGTCTCAGAAGAGGGCAGAAGGACTGGGAAAGCCAGAGGACCAGGAAGACAGTCTTCTAGAAGCAACAGGAAAGTTGCACCCATAAGATCTCAGCAGTAGTCTGGCTAGACAGGACCTGAACAAAATACCATTTGCTAGGACAACAGGCGTGGGTGTAATGTCATGGGGCCTCACCCCTACGTGGAGAGCTACAAGCAATGAGACGAACCCCCTAAAAATAATTATCCAATCCCAGTGGTCAGCACTAAAAAATATGCATACAAGCAACACTACACAGACCCAGCAAGTTGCATTTATAAGTTTATTTGCATTTGTGTGTGTGTGTGTGTGTTTGTGTGTGTGTGTGTGTGTGTGTGTGTGTGTGTGTGTGTGTGTGTGTAACAATAACAAAAGAGGTCATGAATTTGAAATGGGGATGGGGGAGGCTGGAGAAAATGATATAATTACATTTTAATTGTTTTGTTTTTAATTTAAGAAGGAAGGAAAGAAATCATTAGGCATGGTGGCTTGTACCTATAATCTCAGCACTTAAGAGACTGAAGCAGGACAGGGAGTTTGAGGCCAGACTGTCTCTCAGAAAAAGACAGTAATCTGGGACAGACCGGAGCACTTTTCTATCTGTATTGTGAAAATGTTTGCACTCCATGTTGTAAAGGATCTGCTCCTTCGAATTGCTAACAGCTTAGCAGGAACATACTGGTGATGGTTTGTGTTCTTAGTAAACCCCTCCTGCCCCTGGAGGAATGCCACATTGATACCTGCAGAAACTAATAAGACTTGGCACTCAGGAAGGGCCTGAGCCCTGACAGCCACAGGAGTGCGTGCTGGGAATGATAATGGTCCCCACCTGACAGAGGGACAAGGCTGAGCTCCAGGGTGACTGCTGCCTTACTCCCCATTTCTCTGTCTCATTTATCTGCTGACTGGAGCTGAGACAGAATATACATCTTTAGGGTGTTAGTCCACTGCCTTCTCAGACTGCCAGCCCTCAGAAGAAAGCACCCCTGAAGATTCTGTTCCTGTCTCTGCTAATTGGCATCTGTGTAGCTGGCAGTATTCTGGTTACCACAGGAACAAGTTAGAGAGAATGACAGGGCCAGTAGAGGCAAGTGGACAACTACAAGGAAAGGTAAGGGTGTGTGTGTGTGTTTGGGTGTGTGTGTGTGTGTGTGTGTGTGCATGTGTCTGTGTGTATGTGTCTGAATGTATGTCTGTGTGTGTGTGTGTGTGCATGTGTCTCTGTGTGTGTGTGCATGTGTCTGTGTGTCTTTGTGTGTGTATATGTGTCTATATGTATGTGTCTCTGTGTATGTGTCTCTCTGTTTGTCTCTGTCTGTGTATGTGTCTCTGAGTGTGTGTGAATGTGTCTATGTGTATGTGTCTCTCTGTGTGTGTGCATGTGTCTCTGTGTGTGTATGTGTCTCTGTGTGTGTGTGTATGTGTCTCTGTGTATGTGTCTCTGTGTGTGTCTCCGTGTCTGTCCCTTTTCCTCCCCTCAGGCAGTAGTTACCACTGTTGTCTCCCCACTGTTGGCCATTTTGAGCTTCATATGAAGAATCATACTGGGTATGATTTTTGTATATCTAGCCTCTTTCATCATTTATTTATTTATTTATTTCATCATTTATTAGAGAGCTAACTGTTCCTTGACAAAGACTTGTTGTCTGTTACTGCTGTGGGATAATTGTATGAGGAGGTAGAAACAGGCTTTCATTTCCTTTGGGTAGACAGCTGTGTCACAGTGCGTGTGAATGTTAGTCTCAGCACCCTAGTGTGCTCTCCACTGCTCTGCTGTGTGAAGTCCAGGATCCACACCAACACCAGGCACTTCCATTGGGCTCTTTAGATCTTCTAGTAGATATGTTGGGGATCTCATTGTTTTATTCATATTTCCTTGACTAGAAAATTTTATTAAGGGACAGAGAGATGGCTCAGCAAGTAGAAGCTTAAAATCAAACCTGACAGGCTGAATTTTATCTGTGGAACCTACATGATGAAGGGAGAGAAATGGCTCCCACAAGTTGACCTCTGACCTCTACATGTACCACTAGAACACAAACATAAATAAATACACACGAATGAATCAATGAATGTAATTTTTTTGTTGTTGTTTCTTTTAGGTCACAGTTTTTCTGTGTAGTCCTGGCTGTCCTGGAATGCACTCTGCAGACCAGGCTAGTCTTGACACAGAGATCCACCTGTCTCTGCCTCCCTCGTGCTGGGATTAAGGTGTGTGCCACCACTGCCTGGATATAAATGTCAAATTTTAAATGTTATGTGAATATTTTTTTCATTTTTCTGTTTTCTCTATTTTTAATTAGTTTACTGGCTCTCATTATATTAACCATTTGGATCTCCTCTTTTCCAAAGTGTTTTTAAAGTCTTTTCCCCATGATTATATTGTTTTCTTACTAATTATGAGTGATTTGGTTGGGAGTTTGCTTACAGACATGGTTTCATATACAGAAAAAATTAGCCTTGGGGGATGATGGCTCATACCTTTAATCCCAGTGCTCAGATGGCAGAGACAGGTGGACTTTTGTGAGTTCGAGGCCAGCCTATTCTACAGAGTGAGTTCCAGGACAGACTCCAAAGCTAAAGAGAAACCCTATCTTTATTTATTTATTTTATTTATTTATTTTTTGGTTTTTGGCTTTGAAGGCTGTCCTGGAACTAGCTCTTGTAGGCCAGGCTAGTCTCGAACTCACAGAGATCTGCCTGCCTCCGCCTCCCGAGTGCTGGGATTAAAGGTGTGCACCACCAATGCCCAGTGAGAAACCCTGTCTTTAAAAAAAAAATAGCCTTGAACTTCTGGTGCTCTTGCCTCACCAGATGTAAAGTTTATAAGGTTAAGAGACATAAAATCTTAAATTATTTACCTAAAAAATGTTTTGATGTCTAAAAAGATAGTTTTATGGTTTTACTATACATGTTATAGTAAAATAAATGGTTTAGGTATAAAACTTTAAATTCATCAAGATAAGATAAATAATAGAGTATTTTCTCCAAGTATGACACACACAAATTGAACATTGTAAATGTAATTCTTACCTGATAATTGTTCTTGTTATATATAGTTTTTCTGTGTTAGAATTAAAACCTTTCCTTTTTATCTAGGCAAAAAGGGAGAAATGCTGTGGAATAATCTTTTTGTACACTGTGAAGATGTGTCACTCTGATTGGTTTAATAAAAAGCTGAACATCCAATAGGTAGGCAGGATTTCCAGGCAAAGAGGATTCTGGGAAGAAGAAGGGTGGAGTCCTGAGGAGACACAGAGGAAACATGACCTGTAGGAAATGACATAACAAGCCATGAGCCACATTGCAGCACATGAATTAATAGAAATGGGTTAATTTAAGTTATAAGAACTAGTTAGAAACAAGTCCAAAAATCAACTAACCTTTCATAATTAATAAGACTTCTCTGTGTGCTTATTTGGGAGCTGGCTAGTGGTACAAAGAAAGTTTCCTAATTTCTTTCGCCAGGAGTAGACTGTTAGTTCACATGAGTACTACTCTAGAGACAAATGAAAATGAAAGCACATGTCATCACCACCTCAGGGATGGTATCAGGGCAGCCCTAAGAGGAAAGGTCATAGCTCAAAATCCTCAAATTAAAAATCTGAGAGATAGCCGGGGGCGGCATACACTGTAGGGGGAAATGCTGGCCAGGCCTGCTTGAGGGCTGGTACAGTGATATAGCAAGGCTTTAAATATGAGGGTCGCACGCATGCTGCTCTCTCTGTTCCCTCACCCACCTGGTTGTGCAGGACTGGCTTTGCTGAGTGAGTACTTTCCTAATAAACCATCTGTTTTTCATACCAGCTCTGATTCCATTGTGATCTGGATTAATGGTGTTCTTCATTACCTGGTGTCAGAGGATGACACAGAATCAAATTACTCCCAGTCTGATGCACCTACTCCATTCAAACATCAGGAAAACTTTCCTAAGGTTGTTATGCGTACACCAATAGTGTTCCCAGCAATTATGTCAGAAAAACTGCTGTCTAAGAAGCATCCACATGGTCAGATGGCATATCAGTGGGAACCCATACAAATGAAAGACTTTAAGGAATTAAGGAGTCAGTTGTTTCATATGGTCTCCATAGACCCTATAAGAAACAATTATTAAATTCATGGACGACCTTTAGTAGGGTGATGCCCAGGGATTGGGAACACCAAGTATCAGCTGTACTCGAAATTCATCTCAGATACCGTGGAGAGCTCTGCAGAAGGAGGAAAAAGAAGCCCTCGAGCTTCAAGGCATAAAGAAAGGTTATGAGGCTTCCCTAGGTAAGATTTTAGGTGAGGGTCTTTATGCTAACTCACAGATTCAGGCTGGATATGATGAGCATACATTGTCCTTATGCAGGACAGCAGCCTATAATGCCTGGGACAAGATTTGTGAACCAGGAGAAAGAGTAGAAACCTATACAAAGATAGAACAGGGACAGAAGGAACAGTTTCATGACTTTTTACAAAGACTATCCAGGGCAGTAGAGTCACTACAGGTAGCAGATCCAGAACCTAGAAAAATGATCATATATTCTCTTTCATATGAGAATGCTAACCCAATATGCAAAAGAATACTTTTGCCTTTAAAGATCAGATCAGCTCTGCTGGAAGAATGGGTTTTGCATACAGCTAACCTCCACTGTAATGTACAAGATACAGAAACTTGGGTAGGAGAGGCAATCTCAAAAGGTTTAAAGAGACACCAAGAGGTTAAATGTTCTCAAGGTAATGCCGCAGGAGCTTGGGAAGGAGAAGTAACTTACAGAGGTCAAAATAGACACCAAGAGGCCAGATGCTATCACTGTAATGGAACAGGAACTTGGGTAGGAAGAGCAATCCCCGAGAGGACCAAGAAGGTACCAGGTTTCAAATGAGGCAGAATAGGACATATTAGAAATTGTAGGCAAAGAAATTCCAACAATGTCTCATATAGAAGGCCTCCGCCTTCTGGGTTATGTAGGAGATGTGGTAAGGGCAGGAACCGGACCGATGAATGTAGATGGACCAGAGACACACAAGGAAACTCATTACAATCGGGAAACTCCTTGAGGGGACTCTCGAAGGCCCCCACATGGAGAAAGGTCCGGTCATTCCCAGTCACTGTGGAGGACAATCTCTCACAGGATGAATAGATGGTACATTGCCTATTGAAAAAAATGATACTACTCTATGTGGTAGTTTGACTAGTAATTAGGAATCAAACGCAACTGGAGGAGACGAAAAACACATATTTTGGCAAACATCTGTTAATGATAAGAGGCCTCAGTTGAAAGTAAGAATTAATAATTAAGTTATTACCAGTTTGGTGGACATTGGGGCGAATGTAACTATTATTACCCAAAAGTCCCATCCTCAGAGATGGCCTTAGAGAGCTGAATGTACAATTTTTAGGGATTGGAACTCTATCTAGACTTTGCCAGAGTGTTAACTGAGTGGTCTGCATTGGACTGGAAGGACAGAGAGGAAGGTTAAAACCATATGTATCAGATATAGCTATAAATCTCTGGGGTTGTGATCTGTTACAGCAATGGAATACCCAGATTAATATTCCTCTCGTTTCAGATGCAAATCATGTACAATCTTTATTTGGTAGACAAAATATAGTAAAGCACTATGGAAAACAGTTACCAACCATCCAGGCTGTACAAAGTACAAATGATAAACCTTCAGAGGAGCCAAAGGTCCTAACCTTAAAGTGGCTTACAGATGAACCTGTCTGGGTAGGACAATGGCCTATGACCTCTGAGAAGCTAGAGGCTTTAGAAAAGTTAGTACAGGAACAGCTAGAGTCTGGGCATATAGAAGCATCTACCAGCCCTTGGAACTCTCCTGTATTTCTTATCAAAAAGAAGTCAGGTAAGTGGAGAATGCTGACAGACCTGAGAGCCATCAATAAAGTAATTCAGCCAATGGGCTCTCTACAGCCTGGAATGCCATTGCCTTCCTTAATTCCTAAGGGATGGATGATCATAGTCATTGATCTGAAAGATTGTTTTTTCACAATGCTGTTACAAGAAAAAGAAAATTTTGCATTTACTGTACCAATTCTTAATAATTCACAGCCAGTTAAGAGATTTCAGTGGAAGGTTTTGCCACAAGGAATGTTAAATAGTCCTAACTTGTGCCAGCACTTTGTGCATAAACTTTTAGAGATAATTCATAAGAAATTTCCACAATCCATTCTCTATTATTATAAGAATGATATTTTATTGTCAGATTTTAATAAAGAAACATTAGAATGAATGTTTGAAACAGTGAAGGAAGTTCCACCTCATTGGGAATTACAGATTGCCCCAGAAAAGATACAGAGAGGAGATCCCAGCACTTGGGAGGCAGAGGCAGGCAGATCTCTGTGAGTTCGAGGCCAGCCTGGCTACAGAGCGAGTTCTAGGACAACCTCCAAAGCAATACAGAGAAACCCTGTCTCGAAAAAACGAAAGAAAGAAAGAAAGAAAGAAAGAAAGAAAGAAAGAAAGAAAGAAAGAAAGGGGCCCTTAAAGGGGATAAGGACTTAAACAGTCCACAAATATTACCCGATGAAGGGGAAAAAGAATTACAATGGGTGGAAAGAAGAATACTGGATGCACATGTAGACCGTGTGGATCCTAATTTAGACTGTATTCTGGCTATCTCACCATCCAGAGAATACCCTTCAGGGATTCTGATGCAGAGGGAAGATATTATATTAGCATGGATATTTCTGCCACATAAACAGAATAAAAAGCTAAAGACATACATAGAAAAGATTTCGGATTTGATTCTAAAGGACAAATTAAGACTCTGTCAACTGACTGGGAAAGACCCAGCAGAAATTATAGTACCTTCAACTAATGAGGAAATTTCCTCCTTATGGAAGGACAATGGATACTGGCAGATAGTTCTTACTGACTTTTTGGGAACAATTAGCAACAATTATCTCAAAACTGACAGAATTAAATTCATAAAAAAAGACAATCTGGATCCTTCCACGTATTGTAAGACAAACTCCTATTTCTGGAGTTCTTACCTTCTACACTGATGCCAACAAATCAGGTAAGGCAGGATATAAATCAGGAGAGGTAAGTAAAGTAGTTCAAAGTCCGTATACCTCTGTACAGAAGGCAGAATTATACACAATTTTTATAGTACTTATGGATTTTACAGAGCCTCTTAATATAGTTACTGATTCTCAATATGCAGAGAGTCATTTTACACATTGAGACTGCAGAATTCATTCCTGATAATACAGAATTAACTTCACTGTTTATACAATTACAGGACACAATCAGCAACAGAATTAATCCTACATATATAACACATATCAGATCCCATACGGGTCTGCCAGGCCCACTAGCACAGGGCAATGATGAGGTTGATCCTTTATTAATAGGAAACATGCTAGAAGACTCAGAATATCATAAGAAACATCATGTAAATAGCAAAGGTTTGAAAAAGGACTTCTCCATTGCTTGGCAACAAGCCAAGGAGGTAGTGAGGAAACTGTCCTACCAGTTCCTTCTATAATCAAGCTCCACTGTCAGCAAGCTGTAATCCTAAGGGAATTCAGAGAAATAAGGTTTGGCAGATGGATGTCTTTCACTTTGCAGAATTTGGGAATTTAAAATATGTGTATCATTCTATAGATACATTTTCAGGGTTTCAATGGGCTACTGCTCTTAGCTCTGAAAAGGCCGATTCTGTTATTACACACCTATTAGAGGTGATGGCTGTTATGGGTATACCTGCACAAACAAAAACTGACAATGTTCCAGCTTATGTCTCCACTAAATTGGAAGAGTTTTTCAAATATTATAACATAAAGCATGTGACCGGTATACACACAATCCTACAGGACAAGCAGTGGTAGAGGGATCTAATAGAACACTAAAAGAAATGTTTCATAAACAGGCTGAGGGAACAACCCCCCCAAACATAGGTTACATAATGTGTTATTAACACTAAACTTTCTCTTTTTTTTAAAATTTTATTTATTTATTTATTATGTATACAATCTTGTGCCTGCAGGCCAGCAGAGGGCACCAGATCTCATTCAAGATGGTTGTGAGCCACCATGTGGTTGCTGGGAATTGAACTCAGGACCTCTGGAAGAACAGTCAGTGTTCTTAACCACTGAGCTATTTCTCCAGTCCCAACACTAAACTTTCTTAATGCTAATGAGAAAGGACAAACAGCTGCAGAAAGACACTGGACTACGGAAAAAACTGCAGAACTGAATCAGCCGGTATACTTCAAAGATGTACTAACCTCTGTAAGGAAACCAGGACATGTGTTACATTGGGGAAGGGTTTCACCTTTGTTTCCACAGGAGAAGAAAAACTTTGGATACCATCAAAGTTGATCAAGATTCAAGTCGAAAAAGAAAAACCTCTCATAAACTGTATAGAAACCTCCCAAAGGAAAGGGAAGTATTTTGCTTTTATCTTCACAGGAAAACTCATCTCCAGAAGGCAAAAGACACTACATGGGTAGATACTTAAAGAAGAGAAGTTAGCTATAACCATCAAACAAAAGGAATGTGCCATATAGCAAAATATATATATTAAATTTATTTCTCTTTACTTCCTACTCCCTATTCAATTAAACCAATGCTGGCTTTAGAGTTGGATTTGGCTTTCCTCCTCTAAATCAAGCACATTGTTAAACTTCAGAGTTTCTGTATTATATCAAGAAGCCAATTGATGTAATATAGAAGAAAAATTGGGAACTGTTATTTGTCTTTTCTTGGCTCTTTCTCTCAAAGTATACATTCCCTCATAATTGTTATTTTCTGTGGCCTTTCCCGATACACATACATATACAAGTAAAAATTTCTCTGCTAACATTTACATTTGAGTCCCACACAGCCAATGAAGAACTGACGCTCAGGAGAGAAAATGGGCCACACCTCCATGAGTACACTGGATCCAACTTGCTTTGTTTCAACTGACACTCTGGCCAGAACTTCGGGTACTGACTTCGATCAACACAAGAACTTCAATCAAGATAAGGATTTCAACCTGGACCTTCAATCAAGCATCTCCCACCAGACATGGACTGGATATAACCCCTTCAGGACTTTCACTACACTAACATTCCCGCCCCCCAGGATCCCACAAGGCTGTCTTCGTCCCAGTTCAGGAGGAAGTAGCTTGGAGAATACTATGGCCCTTTTCCCCACTGTTGACACCTAGTTAGGGCTAGTTTCCTGTTGTTTAAGGTTGGGTTTGGAAGGAGGTGTTCAAGCTTGGACATCTCTTTCAGATAACTTTAAGGTTTAGTTGGATGTGATATTAGTAGATTATTATAACTTCTTGTAATTCAACCTTATGATTGTTAATGATAGATAATTTACACTGTTAAGTTTTAATCATCTTTTAGGCTAAAAGGGAAATTGTAGGGGGAAATGCTGGCCATGCCTACTTGAGGGCTGGCACAGGTGATATAGCAAGGCTTTAAATATGAGGGTCACACACATGTGGCTCTCTCTGTTCCCTCACCAGACTGATTGTACAGGACTGGCTCCATCACATGAGTACTTTCCTAATAAACCATCCGTTTTTCATACGAGCTCTGACTCCATTTTGATCTACATTAACTGCATTCCTCATTAATCCCAGAACTCAGGAGGCAGAGGCAGGAGGATCTCTGTGAGTTCGAAGTCAGCCTGGTCTACAGAGTGAGTTCCAGGACAGCCAGGGCTGTACAGAGAAAGCCTGACTCGAAAACCAAACCAAAACCAAACCAAACTCAAGAGATATGAAATAATGTAATGATGAACCCTCAAGGCTCTCAGAAAGCAAGCAGCTACCCCCACACATTGTAGACAGTAAAAAAAATACAGATTAGGAAGAAAGTAATGAAATTGAGATTAAAATGACAGTACAAAATCAAAGAGTTAGTTCTTTGAAAAAGTTAGTGAGATAGACAACTTTTAGCTAATGTGACAAGAAGTGAAGACAGAAGTAACTAAAATCAGAGGTCAAGGGTGTCGCCACTGAAACCAGAACGTCATTAGAAATTACTCTGAAATGCTGGACAATTCAAGGAAATTCCCTCAACTCACATCATCTACCAAGATGAAGCCCTGGAGAGATACAAAGAACTTAAACAGTATGTGTTTGCACGAGTCACCGTGCTTGGGTGAAGGTCAGAGGACAACTTGCTGGAGTCACTAATAAATAGCCTTCTGCTCCCATGCCTTCTCCAACCAGTATGGGCTGAGCCACAAGGCAAAACAAACCAGTCTTAAATTGCTTCTTTCAGGCATTTCATTATA